AAAAAAAAAGAAAGATTTTTAAATTTTTTAGATCTATGAGTCTAGTACATGAAACATTTATATATTAAATTATATGCAGTATGTAACATTTTAAATAACTAAATTTATTTGGGATTACTTTTTTCTTGTTGAATTTGTTTTACAGTATTTGGTGAGAGATGATACTAACTTCTTAAGTTTTAATAATTTAATTTCGTGGATTTTATGTTGTTAAAGTTCTCTTTGACTACTTTAACTACATGATCGTATCTTCTTGAAATATTATATCGTAGTGGTATTAAATCTAATTATTTCTTTTTAAGTGTTTTCTTTTTACCATTAGGTAATTTGCATATTTATTTGTTTGTGCCTTATTTCTTATTGTCATGAATCTTTAGCTATTTTTATGTACGAAGCAAATTATTCAAATAAATAAGTGCAATAGAACAATAAATGAAATCGAACTAGGTTCAGTCAAATCAACAAATCATGTTATTATTTTAGAAAACTTGTTTGAGATAACTTTTTTGAATTCGGACTATGAATAAGTCTAACATACAGTAATGTCATGATTGATATATTCAATAAACGAAAAAAAAAAATGGTGTAGATGTATGTGGTACATGAAATATTAATATACAACAACGAGATACCTAACAACCAAACCTATTAAACATGACTTCACTAAATAAAAACCAATCATAAGGTTTGGCCTTAAAGCTTGATCAATAGAGACTTGGCCATTACCTCAATATACGTGTTATTATCATTAACATTGATATTTATTATTGTACTGTTAACTCTTGAGTATTACATATTCAAACTATCTATGTAAAGACAACTTAAATGACAAATACAATATTTTATAACTATACATTAATTCATTATTCTTTACTCTCATTTAATATTTAAAGTTTGTATTTTTCTTTTCCTCATTAACTTGAGTATTGGAGTTTCTTACTAATCTTAATAAAATTTAAAACTCGTTATATATGGTTATCTTAATAGACATAGAGCATTTTGGTAACCTCAATTGTCAATCTTGCCTACTGGAGCCTAGTAAGGGCATATGAGACCTGCCACTTATCAAATTAGTTGAGCTTATGCTATAGTTCAAATTAAGCCATACATTAATAAACTATCTTAGTCGTTGATTCATATTGGTAATCTTGTGAATCTAATTATTCAGGACGTTACGAATAACACTAAAGTAATTATGTAATGTCATATCAAAATTAATTAGCACTATAAAGTAATGATAGTCTTATCAAGTCATTATAATATTATTTGATTAATATACAATATAAATGATGGATTTGTGATGATATTAATATTCTTAAATCATATCACTAAAGATGTTATTAAATATATATACATTTACTTTTTAAAAAATATTTCACACGTAAGCTATAGAAAATGTATACTATTTTTATCAGGTAATAACGAGTTTCGAGTTTACTGCAACAATATATTAAAAGAAAAATAAAATAATTATGTTATGAAGTAATATTAACTATTATAAACAATAACTTTAACAAAGTTATTTTTCTCATGCATTACATGTATATTTGTTATAGTACTATTGCTTATATATATTCTTAGAGAAGATTTAAAAAATTTTTGGGGTAAAATATACTTTTCTTTATGTGTTTGATTTTATTACAATTGAAAACTTATATATTTTTTTTTCTCTTACTTCATATAGTTTAACATTGTATAATATTACATAAAATTATTATTTTTTAAATATTTAGATATGTTTGAATTTTAAACATGAGTACATAAAAATTAAAGTGAAATAAACAAAATAAGATATTTAAAAAAAAAACATGATAGCCTAAAAAATCAATAATATTTTTTGCTAAAAAAATTAATAATTGCATGAAAAATTTATTAAAATTAAATAACAGAACTCATTTTCTTATAAACAAATTACAAAATTTGAATGCCAAAAAAAAAAAAAGCGTTAAATATATAATTTGTTATAGAAAAAGAAAAAAAAAAGAACTCGTTAAAGCATGGGACACTTGGCAGTATTTGATTAGTTTTCACTCCGAGCTCAGGTGAACTCGAGAGCTTTCTAAAATTTCCCCGTCCTGACCAAATAAAGCGCCATCCCCCTCTACCTCTCCAACGTGTTCCTTCTCGTTCGCTCGCTCCTCGCCTCGCTTCGCCTCTTTTCTCTCTGTGAAAAGCACTTTCTCTCTCCCAAAAACTTTCTGCATAGCGATATTTCTAGGGTTTCCAGTGCTATTCTACATACCTCCATTCACAAAGCATATACCAGAAACTCACGAGTTGTATACATATAACAAAAATTGCTTTCTTTCTGCTTCTGTTTCATGTGATATCAACGGCTATATTAACCCTATGGTTCCATTCAAATTCGATTCAGAACTAACTCTTAACTCTCTATTCTAATGAGTTTCACAACCAGTAAATGGCTCGATTTCGCTCCCTCGCTCTCCATTGCCCCTTGCTTTACACCATCTTAATCGTCGTTGTAAACCCTAGCCTCTCACTTTCTTCTCAAACACATGATTTTCCTCTAGTCGACTGGGATGCCAATTACTTGTTGTTCCACCAGGACTATTCTCCGCCAGCTCCACCGCCGCCTCCGCCTCATCCGCCGTCCGTTTCTTGTGTCGACGATCTGGGTGGTGTAGGCTCTCTGGATTCCACATGCCAAATTGTATCTGATTTGAACCTCACCCGTGACGTGTACATAGCAGGGAAGGGAAATTTTTACATCCTACCCGGGGTGAGATTCCAGTGCCCTGTCTCTAGCTGCTCCATAATAGTCAATGTTTCTGGTAATTTCTCTTTGGGCGCCAATTCTTCTATTTTCGGGGGCACTTTTGAGCTCGTGGCAAATAACGCTAGCTTTGGCAATGGTTCGGCCGTGAACACCACGGGTTTGGCTGGGAAGCCGCCTCCTCAGACGAGCGGGACGCCACAGGGAATTGATGGAGCGGGTGGAGGCCACGGAGGGAGAGGGGCCTGCTGCTTGGTGGATCACACGAAGCTGCCTGAGGACGTGTGGGGTGGAGACGCGTACTCGTGGTCGACGCTCCAGAAGCCATGGAGCTATGGCAGCCGCGGTGGCTCTACGAGTAAGGAAGTGAATTACGGAGGGAAAGGAGGCGGGAGAGTGAAGATGGAAATCGTGCGGTTTCTGGACGTGAATGGGAGCATTTTGGCAGAGGGTGCTAATGCAGGAGTTAAAGGGGGTGGAGGGTCTGGAGGCAGCATCTACATTAAGGCCTATAAGATGTAATTGCCATTTCTTTCTATCTTTATTTTGATTTCCTTTAGTATTTATCTGTCTTTGTTGTTTTCTGGTGCATATAGTTGGTAGGGATGTAAAAGTCAAGATTTGGAATAATTATTTGAGACAAAGGAATTTGCGGTGGTGAGGGTTTGGTTCAGATTAGTCTATTTCAAAATATGGGACAATGCAATTGCACCTGTCATCAGCACTAGTGAAGCCAAGATCTTACTTTCTTTTTATTAAGTTTTGAATGCAAATTAGTATATAGCCAAGATCTTGCTATTAAATAAATACTACGTTGTCATGCTGTTAGAAGAAAAAGGGGAAAGTGGTTCAAGCATACTCAGACTAGAGTGTAGGCTGTTGATCTACTTACAATATGTTTGTTTTCTTTTTGAATCAACACAAATTTCGTGGACAAAGCCTTGCCTCCTGATAATTATAGTCTCACCACTTATTCACCATGATTCACTTTATAGGATTGATTAATATTCATAGAATTTGAAGCTTCTGAGTATGCAACTATGTATCCCGATGATGTACAAGAAAAGGGGAAAGTGGTAAAGTACTCATAGTGCTTCCTTTGATTATCTTCCACACTAGCATGCTCTTTACTAGAATCCAGGCAATTGAATAACACACAATAATCATGTTTTTCTTTTTGAACAAAAACGAATTTCATAGACAATAGCCCTTTCCTCCCGAATGATTATAGTCTCATCATTTTTTCATTCTGATTCACTTGTTTGTATCAATCAATTATCATACTATTTGAAAATTGTAAATATTCAACAATCTTCTGCCCCCTAGGATGGTGTTGGAACTAAGACTCTTCCCTTGTTTGTTTTTAGTGAAAAGAAGGCCTTCACTGTTATTTGTGTAATTTCCTGCATTTAAGATGAATTTTCTATTGTCTTTTATAGTTGCAGTAATTGATAGAAAGAGCTTGAGTTAATTATGAAGGCTGGTTTCAGTCATATCTTGTTTGCAGGTGTAACATGTGCCATTGTACTTAGAATTTTTATTCTTACTGTTTCTTGGTAAAGTATTCTCTGATCTGGGGGCAACATGATAGACTTTTCTAACAAAAAATTTATATTCACATATGGTTCTTCTATTTGGTTATTTTCTTTCACATCTCTGTTTAGTTTAATTAATTGTAGAATCCAATGAGTAAAAAGAGTGGATTTTTTTTCTGAAATAAAAAGTAGAGTAACAAGAGTGGGCTTCCATGTTTATGAAATTAATTACCAGAAGCAGTCCTCACAAGGAAAAATGAATGAGAAAATTGAATTCAGTTGTAACTTTACCAATGTTGTTAGGAACTAGAATGCTATTATAGAATAGGAGACGAATTTTTACTGGAAGAAAATGAGTTCTCACCATAGTTTGAGTTCATTTGGATGGTCCTTTTTCAACTTTAAGTCACAGGAAAGTAGAATCTGTGTTTTGTTGGGATCAAATTTTTCTTGTTCCTTTCTCTAGTAATGTCAATTTTTTCATCAAACAAAAAATTCAGGTTGGTCACTTAAATGTGTCTGGGAGGAAAAAATGGGTGCCGAGCAAGTAACCTGATAGCTACAAAATAGGGATGGAAAATGTAAAAAATGTTAAATTATGAACCTTTTGGCAATATTTTTTTTTCCTCTTAGTAATTTGAAGAATTCCTTTCTTTATATTTATGATATTGATTGGGAAAAATTTTGGTTGTTCATCTTTTTAAAAGCTTTAGATTAACTTATATGGAGACCAATATGAAAATTTGAAACCTCAGACAATGTGATTTTGTGTGGGTTTGAGAACTAGATCCTACTGAGCTTATCTACTTTATTAATTTTCCCTTGTATGTTTCCTTGTTATTCTTGTAAGATTATGCATGTGAGTTGCCTAGTTTCTTATTCGTTCTTTTGCCGCATTATATGCTGAGGCATTTTATATTCATGGTAGATACTTTTGGTACCAACTATTAGCCAAATAAATACTCAAATCTGTTTATGCCTTGTGTCTATGGATGTGGGTTAAATTTATTATTTCTTGACTTGCTCTTTTGTTCTTTTATGGATTAAATATTCTGTTATTGCTTTCCTGTTAAGTGCAGGACTGGAAGTGGCCTGATAAGTGCTTGTGGAGGTAATGGTTATGCTGGTGGAGGTGGTGGAAGAATTGCAGTTGATATCTTTAGCAGGCATGATGACCCTAAAATCATTGTGCATGGTGAGTTTTTTGTTTCATTTGGTTCTTTGTATTTGCTGTTGAATTTTAGTAGCGAATATATAATCTTGGTTTTTAACTACTAGCTAATGTAATTATTTCATGTGCTTCTCCTGTTATAATTTTGTAACTATTGCTATGATGTGCTCTTGAAATGCTTTTTAGTAGTTTTTAGAGGGTTCTTCTTATCCCTATGTCTACTTTGTGGGTCATTTGGGAAGAAAGCCTTTGAGGATCTCTTTCATTCTTTTGATGGAGTTCGGAGTGTTTGGTCCATATACATATTCTTTTTTTTAAGTGCCATCCACTCAATTCTGCTGAAGATTTAGGTGACATCATTGGTGTATTGGCTAACTTGTTTTCCCTCAAAGAAAGTATTGATTGTTATTTTTTTAAAAAATAAAGTATCGTTTAACTTGTAAATCCTGCCTTCTGTATATTTCTTCATAATTGGGTCCTGACCCATTAGTGCTCTTTAATGACTTATTTTGTTTCCAAAAAACTGTTTTTGGAGTGCTTTCATATTGTTCAATGAAAGAAAGGATAAATCTAAGAACGATTCAAAGTGTTTACGACTACTGATTCAGTTATTCCAATACTTTGCTTAATTGGTTTTACAATGTTTCTCATTTGGTGTTTTCTATACAAAAAATTAATGAGAGAAGCGACCTCTAAGTTGATTAATTCTTGTTGTGTAAACTCTTTGAGCATTCTAAATAGAGAATTCTTTATTCTCTTATTACATGTCAAACGGCTTCATGTTTGATTGAAGTTGTTATTAAAACGAGAAACCACCTTCTTGAGAGGTTGTTCGGGATTGTTGAAAAAATTATGCTTAAGCACTAGGTACTTTGAGTAACGCAAAGCACCAAAACGTTGATTGAAAAAAATAGTCGTTCTATGCATGGATATTGGGATAGATAGGTCAGTGGACACGTTAAAAATAGCAATCTAAGCAAATCATTAGAAATGAAGTTAAAGTGGTGATGTTTCAGTTTCTCTGCTTAAAAGGTGCTTATGCTTATTTTGTAAGTAGATGATTATAAGTAACTTTTCAGTTTACTAAACAGAATAAGCAGCTTATAGACAATGCAAAACATCTTATAATTCTTATGTAGTTACTTACGGTAGTCTCAGTTAAGACTAAAATGTCCTTGTTTAGAATTCTTTCAAGTCTTCTGCATTCTCAAAAGTTATGCTTTCATACCAGAGGTTTTTTACTCTGCTAGTGGATTTTTGCAAAATTAGTATAGACCAGAAGATTTATTGTTATATTTGCAGGGGGGAGTAGTTTTGGCTGTCCACGTAATGCTGGTGCTGCTGGGACATTTTATGATGCTGTTCCTCGGAGCCTTACGGTTAGCAATACCAATATGACAACAGATACAGAAACACTTTTGCTAGAGTTTCCTTATCAGCCTCTTTGGACAAATGTTTATATTCGAAATCATGCAAGGGCCACTGTTCCTTTGCTTTGGAGTCGTGTTCAGGTCTTGTCTATTTTGAATTCTTAAAATATACAGATCAATATCTTTCCTCTCAAGTTTAGGCATGCTATATTTATTTCCTGAGAATACTATTGCCGTTAAGATGTTTATATTTCCTTAATTGATATGAAATGTATTACAAGTTTCTTATATATGTTTGCACTCATTTCTCACACTAAGACTTAATGTATC